ATGTAACGATTCCCTCCATCGAGTTAATTAACATATTCATCACCATATATATGTATACATATCCATGTTTTTTGGTAAGAACACTTAAGTTCTACTTTTTTAGCGAATTTCTGTTATATGATACAGTGTTATCAACTACCATTACATTCAATCTCCGGTCATACATTAGATCCTGAGGCCTTGTTCATCTTACAGTTGAATGTTTGTACCCCTTTACTAACCCGCCCTATGTCCCTTACCCCTCAGCCTCTGGCAACCGTTTTTCCGCTGTTTCTACAAGTCTGGCTTTTTTTTTTTGAGTCCACATATAAGTGATGCCTTGCAGTATTTATCTTTCTTGTGATATCATAGCTTTTGATTAGTATCGATAAAAAAGTCACATCACGTATATTCATATAGCTTCTTTTTTTATCCTATTTCAGAAAGTTGTTAAATTTCAAACTAATGAGATAGGATTTCAGCTGAGATGTTGGGCAGGGGGATTGCCCAGAATTATCACTGAACGTGCTTTGCTTGGCAAGTAAAATCTGATGAAAGAGAACATCTTTCGGCAACGATGCTGAAGCAGTGGATGCCTAGATCCACTTGGACCATATAGGGAGACGAGGTCTGTGGGTGGAGGAAGGGACTGTCCTTAAAACCTGGAGCGCATGTATGTTGAAGTTCATGGAGGATACACTGATGATCTCAAAGGTCCTGTGGTTTTTACAGTCTGGATGAACTGTAGTTCCTTAATATAAGAAATCGAGCTTTCAGAAGTTACACCAGTGAGGGAAAGCACAGGGTTTTCCTTGTTTCCTGGGCTGACCATAGTTTTATGAAAATGAATTTCGAAATATCTTTTCTGTGCATTGAGGCTTCTTGGCAAAAAGTGCAGTCTGTGTAATGCATTACCTCTGAGCTTTTTCTTAAAGGGCTTAAGGGCAGACATATGGATAATGGTTTAAAAATAGAAATATGGTCTTTCCAGTCATAGAAATCTTCTGATCCAAGAGGTGTTCTTCCCACTTTCCAAAAAATGTAGGGCTATATACTCATACTCCTAGATACCAAGACAAAATACATGGCATCTGACGCTAAAAAAAACAACCCACTGTACTTTTCTTGAATACTTCAGCCCTGTGATCAGACAGTGACTTAAAGCCCCATCTCGATGCCAACTCGCTGTGTCACCTTCTAGCCACCGCGCCCTATAACTAGGCACTTTTGTTTGGTAAAATTACAGAAGAGATGCTGTTTGGTAAGATATGTGGTTCTATTTTAGTGCCTGTAGTTCATCTAGGAACATGGCTGGCACTTGGTTTCCTCACATAGTCCTTCCACATTTGTCCATTTGTGTTTGTGTGTGCATTTAGGGCAAGTGCACACTCCCAGTGTCATTGTGGAAACAGTGATACACCCCCACCCCCCCGAACAGACTTGTTCTGATCTCTGGCATTCTATTTGCGACCACGCTGGGGGATCTGACCCCTTCTGGTTTATGGACACCTACAGGTGGCAATTGAGAATTTATGGAGGTTCTGTTAGGAAAGACCACTGCCGATGGAGAGTTCGTTTGGAGAGAGTTCCGTCTAAAATTTTTTTTTTTTAACGTTTATTTATTTTTGAGACAGAGAGAGACAGAGCATGAACAGGGGAGGGGCAGAGAGAGAGGGAGACACAGAATCTGAAACAGGCTCCAGGCTCTGAGCTGTCAGCACAGAGCCCGACGCGGGGCTCGAACTCACGGACCGTGAGATCATGACCTGAGCCGAAGTCGGATGCCCAACCGACTGAGCCACCCAGGCGCCCCAGAGAGAGTTCCATCTAAACGGATCTGTGGCCTTCTTTCCCCTAGCATACGCATGTATACTGATCTAGTCTTGCTGCGATGTGACTTGGGCGGTAAGAGTAAGGATCGCGGATATAATTTGCATAATCAAATTTTTCACAAATGGCCTGATTAACAGAGTGCTAGATGTCATTCATGGAGATGACTACATTTTTATGAAGTGGAAAACTGTGGAAAGCTTGCTAACTATTTCTTGGTAAAATGTAAGTCCTTCAAAGCCAAAGACTATTTTTACCCATCTTTATATTCCCAGCACAGCGTCTGGTGCAGAAGAGACACTTAATGCTTTTTGAATGAACAAGTGGGTGAATGAGACTCATTCCTTAGAAAGATTGTTTGAAACGAAGAGATTAAAATGTTTCCTGGAAATAGAAACAGTGCATGCACGCCCATGCTGGCTGCTCTACTTTGATTGAGAAAGAGATCGATTTTTCCCCTATATTGTTCGAAATCCAGCCGCTTAAAAATTACCCTCTTGGTTAAAAAAAAAAGTACACACATTTTTAACGCCGCATTAGTTTCGATGTGACTTCTAAAGAGCAGTCTCTTGAGTCAAAGACAAAACAAGATCCCTGTTAGCATCCCTGACAACCGTTGTTTAAAGACAACTGTTTCTTGGGGCGCCTGGGTGGCGCAGTCGGTTAAGCGTCCGACTTCAGCCAGGTCACGATCTCGCGGTCCGTGGGTTCGAGCCCCGCGTCGGGCTCTGGGCTGATGGCTCAGAGCCTGGAGCCTGTTTCCGATTCTGTGTCTCCCTCTCTCTCTGCCCCTCGCCCGTTCATGCTCTGTCTCTCTCTGTCCCAAAAATAAATAAACGTTGAAAAAAAAAAAAAAAAGAGTAAAAAAAAAAAAAAAAAAAAAAAAAAAAAAAAAAAAAAAAAAGACAACTGTTTCTTTAAAGTTTAAAGAAATGCACACAATCTCTTCTGTCCAGTGTACAAGGTATGATGTTGGGGATGTGTGTGGGAATAGAATGTGCCAGTGCCAGAGGGCCCCCTTAGTCTACATGAATTGAAACAGGAACAGGAAAACCTTTCCTTTTGGAGAATAGTATTTTTCACGTATTAGCTTTTTTTCCTGGACTGATCATTTTGCCTAAATTACCGGTCGGAGAAGGCACACGCATGATGCTTACCTGGGATGCTTGTCATAAATGGATCTTATATTTATTTAGGAGGCTGTGTAATTCTGTCTGCCTTGTTAGTGCTATCACTAGGAATTCACTGTTCGAATCATCTTACATACCAATAGCCTCGTTGAATAGATTTTCTCAGTGGGAGAATCATAGAAATTTATTAGTTTGGCTATTGGCCTTCGTACCTTATTTACAACCGTGCACCTTGAGCCTGGTAATCAGTACCTTAGTATCTCCTCCAGAGATCTTTAATCAAGTAGGCAAAAGTGGTTTTGAAATCTTTACTGAATGGGTGCAAACGGAATCACTAGTGCACCACAAAGTCTCCCTCCCCTCAATTTTTAATCCCTTTGTGGAGAGAAGGGATAAATAGTAGAACAGAACATTTTAGAGTATTATGGCTAAATAAGCTATGGCCAGGGGAGATCAAACAAAGGAGAATTTAGGAACAAATTGTAGAATGCCACCCGCGCTGATAATGCATTTGAGATGCACCATTCAAAAGGGAAATTGTTGGGGCGCCTGGGTGGCTCAGTCGGGCTGAGTCTCCCACTTTTGGCTCAGGTCACTTCATCTGGCTGTTCAGGAGGCCCCTCGGGCTGCCTCAGGAAGTTGATCAAACAGCCTGGATTGCTTCCCGACTTCTGTGTTCTCCCTCTCTGCTCCTCCCCCCCGCTCACATGCCTTGTCTCTCTCTGTCTCAAAAATAAATAAATGTTAAAAAAAAATTTTTTTTAATAAAAATAAAAAAAAAACAAAAGGGAAATTGTTTATTTTTATGTTGCCATAATGGTTACCTGTTTTAAATAACACCCCCATGCGATGCCTGGGTGGCGCAGTCGGTTAAGCACCTGACTTCAGCTCAGGTCATGATCTTGTGGTTCGTGGGTTCAAGTCCTGCGTCGGGCTCTGTGCTGATGGCTCAGAGCCTGGAGCCTGCTTTGGCTTCTGTGTCTCCTGCTGTCTGTGCTCCTCCCTCACTCGCACTCTGTCTCTCTCTGTCTCTCTCTCTCTCCCTCAAAAACTAAACAAACATTTAAAAAAACACCTCCATAATGTAGTTCTTCCATTTAGGTTACCATACTGTATTCAACTCAAAAGTTCTCAGTTGCCTTGTTTAAGCAAACGTTGTGGCTAAATATTTAAGACTTTCCCAAGTGTGGGGAGTTTGAATGTGAGCTGGCACGGAGCCTCTCTGGCTCAGGAAATTGAGCGATTTCTCTAATTGTGTGCCAGAGACCCGTCTAGGGCTTTGGTTTTCTGATTCCCCGAATATTGCTGTTTCTACTACGCTATGTTGTAGGAAGCCATTTCTTTAAAAGAAAAAAAAAAAATTGTGATCCTAGAGGATTTGATCCCAGGATAATGTTAAAATTTGCCGTGCAATCCCAGAGCATTAAAAACATTTGATGTGTAAGGCAAGGGTCACAAACTGTGGCCCGTGGGCCAAATGCAATCTGCCACTGGTTTTTCTACAGAAAGTCTTACTGGAACTATCACACCCCTTCATTTCTGTCTGTCTGTGGCGCCCAAGGGCAGAAGGAGCAGTTGCGACAGAGGTCAATGGACTGCAAGCCTAAAATATGAATTATCTGGACCTTCATAGACAAAGTTTGCTGGGGCGCCTGGGTGGCGCAGTCGGTTAAGCGTCCGACTTCAGCCAGGTCACGATCTCGCGGTCCGTGAGTTCGAGCCCCACGTCAGGCTCTGGGCTGATGGCTCGGAGCCTGGAGCCTGTTTCCGATTCTGTGTCTCCCTCTCTCTCTGCCCCTCCCCCGTTCATGCTCTGTCTCTCTCTGTCCCAAAAATAAATAAATGTTGAAAAAAAAAATTTTTTTTAAATAAAAATAAGTAAATAAAGGAGAACTAGGTTTCTAGAGAATCTGAGAGCAGAGGCTCGGATTCTTGTTGCCAGCGCGAAGTCTGTGACTTGAACCAAGTTGGCTCAGGATGGGAAGTGCTTCAGACTGTCATTGATGTCGTGCTAACCATGGTGGATGTTGAACGCTCACCAAATGTCCTTCTTCTTGGCAGGTGGAGTGGATCCAACAGCAAGTGGTAAAAAGACGGACAAAGAGGGATTATGACTTCAGCCGTGCCCAGCCGACTTACTTCAATGATCCCAAGTGGCCGAGCATGTGGTATATGGTGAGGAAGCCTGGCCTGGGGCTGTGTTGTCCAGGGGACGTCTGTGGGGTCTGGGAAGACACAGAGGCAGTGACCAGGGATGGTTTCCTGTTCCAGGAGACCCACCATATGAGATTTGGCTGGACTATGATCCAGCCATATGGAGATGGGCCTCCATCTCCATATGGAGATGGGCCTCCATCTCCATATGGAGATGGGCTATGCTGTTTTCTGGATCTTTCTGGAACTTTGCTCTTTGGTTCTGAGGCAAAAGAGGAGGGAGTTTGGATTCACAGAATTTCTGTTGGAGAGCTTACTCTGTGTAGCTTTCTACATCTGGGCCAGAGGATAGAAAAATATACTAAGGTGCAGACAAGGCACCCTTAGACCTATCCGTGATCAGGTTCCTCTCTGATACATGTGTCCTCCACCTTAAAACCAGTCTGGGTAATGGACAATGGCTCTCAGAAGTCATTGAAATGACTCTGCTGGTAAGTAGCAGATTCCAGGCTTAAGTCATCTAATATGTGCTTGCTTACTTTAGGTAATGGTTTTTAAACACTAGGGAAAATGGTTTTTTAAACTAAGGGAACGACTGGCTGGAAAGTATGTGACTTGTAGTTAGTTCATTGGTTCAGGCAGAAACTTTCAGTGAGGGCAATTTGCTTAAGTGTTGAGTAGAGCTGTCCACCTGCTCACCTGCCGTTGCCTCCTTCGGAAATGTATTTCTATCTCTCTGGGGCACCTGGGTGGCTCGGTCAGTTAAGCGGCCAACTCTTGGTTTTCGCTCAGGTCCTGAGCTCACGGTTCATAGGTTTGAGTCCTGCATCAGGCTCTGTCCTGACAGCGCGGAGCCTGCTTGGGGTTCTCTCGCTCCCTCTCTCTGCCCCTCCCTCACATGTGCTCCCACATGTATTTCTCTATGTCTCTCTATGTCTCAAAATAAATAAACTTAAAAATATATATATATATATATATTTCTCTAGTCTTAGGGTTTTATGTTCGTGATCCCTGAGAAATACGTTATTCTTACTCGTGAAATCCCCATGTCCCCAGTTTGCTCTATAATCTACAAAGAGACCTTTACCTTCCTCTTTTTTTGGAGTATAATCTTCATTATTATTATGAGGGTGTTTCTACTCTTCTTTATTATTTTTTGATCTTGTCCCTGCCCTCTGCAAACCTCAGAGATGCATCGGATCTGCCTCATACTTTCCTGCCTCTTGTGTCTTCATTCTACTTTTCCACTAATATTCACCTGCTCGCCATGGGACTTGGTGGGGACTCCCTCACCTTCAGGCCTCATGCTGAGGCATCGTTGCTCCAAGTGTCCCTTGTCCTCATCTGTTCCCTCTTCCCTTCTCCTCCTGCTTTCCTGGGCCTTCTATTCTCATGCTATACCTTTCCCTTGGTACTTTGTTTCGATGCTGTTGATATTTTAATCGTACTCTTGTTACACTGGGGCAGGAGCGAAGTCACTTCTACCCGCCGGAAGATCTGACCTTAGTCATGATGCAGAACTTGTGCTTATTTTGAGGTGGGTGAAAGCGGCTGGCTTTTCTCCCAATTTCGTTTTTCTTAGTCTCACCCAGAAGTAGAAGGTTGCGGAAATATTTCGGAACCCCAGAGAGAACTTTACATAGAAAACTCTTTCAGGCCAAAAAAGAAAAAAAAAAAAAAAGGGGGGGAGCCATAAAGCTAAGTTCAAAGGGAGGCGGGACTCTAAACAGCATTCGAGTAGAAATCACCTGAAGGGACAGTAGGACCCTTGACAGCTTGTTAGCTCCAAGACCAAGGAAGAGTGAGCCACCTGGGAAGGCATTGGAAAGAGTGTTGGCAGGACCTGGGGAGCTCTGTCTGTTGCTGACAAAATGATAAGAGTATAATGGGATTAAGAGAGGGGATGGGAGAGAAATCCCTCTCCACCGCTGTTCATGAGGCCGGGCAGAGGAGACCCTCGTCGCCTTACATTTCTTCATGCAAGAAAGAGCTGGTGTGCTGTTGGCACCGGTCCCAGCGAGCGGGGGACGTGTTGGGCAGCTTTCCCTGACCTTCTTACCGCTTCAGCAGGCTGGCCTGGGTTCTGGAGGAACCATGGCCAAGGCATTAGCACCTCGGCCAGCCTGGGGACTCCGAAGGTTTCAGTACCCGTAGAGCGAGATCTCCTCTCCCCCAAGAACCATTGCTATTTCTTTGGAAATTCCCTTTGCATGTCAGGAAAGGTTGAGGGAAGAACTTTTGTTCGGGCATTTCAACGTCGGCTGTGTTTCAATACCTGTTTGATAATTCCCATAGGTGACGTGTTTATGGAGCACTTACCGTGTGCCAGGCGATGTGCTAAATACTTTGAGTATGTTTCTAATGTAGTGTGAGCGAAAGTGCGTGTGTGGATATTGGCCCTGTTTTAAGAGCAAGGAACCTGTGGCTCCTGAAATGTAGACGACTTGTCTAAAAGCACCCAGCCTGGGGCGTCTGGGTGGCTCAGGTCATGATCCTGTGGTTCGTGGGTTTGAGCCCCACGTCCGGCTCTGTGCTGACAGCTCGGAGCCTGGAACCTGCTTCGGATTCTGTGTGTCCCGCTCTCTCTGCCCCTCCCCAGCTCGTACTCCATCTCTCTTTCTCTCTCAAAAATAAACAAACGTTAAAATCACCCAGCCCGAACGCGGTAGAGCAGTGCTGACAAACCAGGCAGGTTGATGGGAGTCCATAGGACTGACCCGGCATCCTGTCCCCACCCTTCTCCTACTTAGAAGCACTATCCTAAGAAAGATGCTACTCCAGCCCTCCAGCAACTTCGAATCTATCCACAGAGAAGCGGCTAAAGTTCAAGGCAGAGTAGTGGGTGCCATGGAGGATGAACAAAGTATCTTGGAACAACTAAAGAGTTTCGAAGCTTCCTATTAAATGGTTGCTTTTCCCTTAACAAAAGGGATGGGAAAGAGGTTATGTACCATAAGTTGATCTGTCAGGAGTAACGGGACGGGATGAGAGCTAGAACTTCAAATCTGCCAACCTCGATGCGGATCCCCATTGCTTCACTTACTGTGCCCATGAGTTACCTCGAACTCTCCTCAACTGTAACGTGAAAGTATCTGGTTCTTATGTGTGAGTTAGCTATTGCTGTGTAACAAATCACAGAACTTAATTTTGCAAACAGCTCACGGGCCCTGTTCAGACAGGGCCCAGCAGTGATGGCTTCTCTTTCTGTGGCATCTGGGACTTCGGTTGGATGACTCAGAGGCTTGGCTGCAGCTGGAGGATTCGCTTGCAAGTGGCCTCGTTATTGGCCTCATCCTGTGGTGAGGACTGCATGAGTGTCCACTTGGGATAGCACTGGCTTCCCCCGGGGCAAATAATCCAGGAAGTCATGTTGGAAATAGTGATGTCTTTTATTATCCAACCTCAGAAGTCACAGACCATTTCTTCTGGAATTTTCTATCGGCCCCACATGCCAGCTCCGATTTCGTGTGTGAGGGAACTGTATGATGTGGATGTACATACTAGGAGGTGAGGATCATTTGGGAAGCCGGTGGCCACAATGAAATGAAGTACTACATGAGAAGCCCTTAGCGTAGTGCCTTTTCTGACACTAGAAAACCCTCAGTAAATCTTTACTGTTATTATTCTCTGACCTTTTAATTGCAATTAAAAGGAAATACATGCTATTTCCTCTTGTCTGTTGTTTAAACTGCTGCTAGTCAAGGAAGAGGGGGAATCACTTGTCCAGCACGTGCTTTTCAGAGCCTTCTGGTGACACATCGGTGACCCGGCTGAGCAAGGTGCTGATTTTCTTCTTCCTCTCTCTGGACCCTGGGCCCTGCTGGAGTGTTTCTGAGGGCTGCTTGGCGAGCCTCCATAGGGTCCTGCCTTTAGCTCGTTAGCCTGGGCCCCGGCCTGTCATTCTATATTTATCACAGGAGAGTGGAGATTAAAGAATGGCATGAAGTGTGCCTGGGTGTCTCTTTTAATTAATTTAAAAGCTCTGCCCCTGTGGCTCCTCCCCCTGGAAACTGGTGTGTGAAACCATTATGTCTGGCCTGGAAGCTTGGGCAATATATCCGGGGAAATCTCCAACTGCATCTACAGAGACGATGGCCGTATAATTACTCCTCTGTCCTGAAATACTGTGCTCAGGCTTCCAGGAGTTGGGAGAGTGCAATCCTAAAAATAGCACTCACTTCTTGTTGCATGGACAGACTTCTGCACCTGCTCTTTGTCTGGCCAAGATGGCAAGCACCGAGGATTGGGGGAACCGTGATTTGTGCTTCCTGAGATCAGTAAAGCAGGAGGGGAATATCTAAGCGCCAGTGAAAGTTTGCTGGACAAGGGGTTCCTTCCAGAAGTTTCTCTGGGATTATGTACATAATCCCTCTCTCTCTGTCCCTCCCCCACTCATGCTCTGTCTGTGTTCGTCTCTCTCAAAAAAAAAACAACAACTAAAAACACACCCAAGCTTGCCCCCCCCATCCCCCCCCGTCAGAGATTCTTTATGTTTTGGGGCGTGTGGCTTGAGTGGGGGGTATTTTATCAACGCTCGCTGGGTGATTCTAATAAGCAGTTGGGACTGAGAAGCACGGCAGCGAGGTAGGAATCCTGTGTCACTCATTGCCTGAGGTCTGATAAGTAATAAATGCTCCACAAGTGCTAATCAAACAAACACTTGAGTAATCTGGAACAAGAGCAGTTCTTTGGTGATCTACATAGTAGAGAAAATAACTGCTCACCTTTGAGTGCTCAGGATATGTCAAGCATGCTGGCAGACTTTCACATGTGCTATCTTACTGCCAGGTTTCTAATGAGTTGGGACCTATTATTATCTTCATTTTACAGATGAGGAACCCAAAGAATAGACACATGAAGTAACTTCTCCAAAGTCTCACTGTTTATCAGGGGCAAGCCCTGGTGTTTAAAGGCAGTTGCTCTGAGCCCTGAGGCTGGCCTTCCAACCTCGACATCCATGGTTCTCAAACTGGTGGGCGTCAGAATCATCTGGAGCGCTTGCGGTCTACCCCTCTCACACA